TTTAGAGTCTGAGCTTCATTATTGGTGTGTGTGGTCACATGACTGACCGACGCCGTCTGATTGGTGGAAATCAGTCACGTGACTGTAAAACCAAAACAAACTGCTTTTGTTGATAGTTTTCTGAGAAATGAATGAAATGAAAGCTATTTCCACTTCCCAAATAAACTCTGAGTAGTTCCAAACACCTAAATACCTCTGGTGATCAACTGGGGGGCTGGAAACTAAAAAACACGTTTTTATTTAGGCAACATCAGTCGTTTCTTGTTTGCATAAAAACACCAAAACACATCAACAGGACTGATCGATAAGCATCAAAGTCACAGAAACGCGGTCTAGAAACCGTCAAAGAGGTAAGGAAGGTTTTTATTTCGTATTTATTTAAAGGATTTTATTTTGCTTTTCAGTAAAAAAGAAAGAAAAGCTTTTAGGCTAATTCTTTGGCTTTTAGGCTAGTTTTTTTAGGGAATTTAAAGCACTGGGTTTGGAATTCCGGTCGATGAGGAGATTAGTGGATTCATTTAGATGGTTGGTGAACATAAATGGTTAAAAAGGAAAAAGCTGGAGCCTTTCACACATTTATTTATTTTTATAGCACAACAACGGCACACAAAGTGTTCCCAAGAAAGAAAAACATTGGTAAAGACAGAAAATAAGGGAAATATATACAAAAAACTGCAAAAATGGAAATCTGAATCCAGAGTGAAAATGTAAAAGACATTATTATAGTAGTAGGCTATTGTTGGCTGGCCGAGATCGATGAGGTGATTAGTGGCTTAATTAAGATGGTTGTTGTACAAAAACGGTTAAAAATGGAAATAAGGACATATTTACATTCCAACTGGAGCCTTTCACATATTTATTTATTTTTATAGCACTACAAAGAGTTCCCAAGAAAGAAAAACATTGGTAAAGACAGAAAAAATAAGGGAAATATAAACAAAAAAACTACAAAATGGAAATATATGAATAACAACAGTGAAAATTATATTAGAATAAGACAAAAGACATTATTATAGTAGCAGGCTGCTCGCATGACTCATTTTCTTTGTTTTTAGAGTAAAAAAAAGCTGACGATGTTCTGATTGTGTCCATAAAAGAGACTTTTAAAGTTGACTTCTGCATCTTTTCTGAATAATTAAACCAGTCTTTCCTGTTGAGCTGCTGCCTCACATGGAGACAAACTGACACAGATAACTAACATTATTTTCTATTTTCCCCCAAAATCTGAACACAGACAAAAACTGAAAGAGATTACAAATTTTATTTTATATTCTACCCCAAAATCTGAGCACAGACGCAGAAACGACCTGCAGCTCAGGGTGAATCCACAAATGATTATTTACAGCAAGAAACAAGCTGAGAGGAGAGTTTATCTGAGCTCACACAACTCTGCTGAGGATCCAACCCAGAGTCCAGCATAGAGAGGCTGAGTGAAGGTGGTCTGGACTCTGTGGAGGAGAGTCCTGGTCTCAGAGACGCTGTAGAAGGACAGAATACCTGCTCTGGGATCCAGGTACACTCCTACTCTGGAGGGAGGAGTAACTGAGAGGGAGGTTTCTATGCTGTTGGACCTAAATGTAGAGCTGTTTCCATCACAATATAACGCCCAAGATTTGTCATTAGATCCAAATGCACATTCATACCCATTTCCTTTTCTGCTGATATTCTTGTATGCGACTGCTACATAAACTCCCCCCCCTCTCCTCTCCACCTCCCAGTAACAACGTCCAGTCAGACTCTCTCTGCTCAGGACCTGCAACCTGTCAGTGAATCTGTCTGGATGATCAGGATAAGACTGAGGTTTATTCTTTACTGTCACCTTCCTGTTCCCCTCTGACAGTAACAGGTATCTGTGTGCTGTGTTTGGATCCAGTGTGATTCTACGTGAACATCTTAAGAAGTCGGCTCTGCTCTCTGGTTCTGGTGGCAGTAGAACATCC